CGACTATTCGCACAACAAACTTTCCCGGCATCGCTCTGCGCGTGCTCCTGGCTTTGCTTCATTGATCTCTCCTATAATACCTTATATGGAGCGCTTCCTGACGACATTAGTTGGCTATCACCATTTATGAAGAAGCTCAACTTATATAATAACGACTTTAGTGGTGTTGTGCTGTTGGTGATATAGTTGAGTTTTCTGCCCTCTTGGAGCAGCTTCTTGACACCAATGGCTTCACCGCCAAGGTTCTAGAGGGGATATGGCAAAACCAAAAGCTTCAAATATTGTCCTAGAATGGGAATGGACTCACTAGGGAGCTGCCTCGCAACATCACAATGGTAAGTTTGGTGGAGATTGACCTATCCATCAACAAACTCAACATGAACACATCATAAGGATTGGGGACCCTCGTGAAATTGACCACTGGAACGGGTTGTTCAACGGAACCAACCCTAGAAGCATTGGGCTCTTGTCGAACCTACAATGGCTCCAGCTGTTGAACAGTATGCTCTTGGGTGAGCTACTGCCTGAACTTGTAAAGCACTTGCAGCTACCGAATTTTGAGGTCCCCAACAACAACTTGTCTGGCTCACTCCCGGAGCATTTATATGCCAATGGGGAACTCTTCAACATAGCAGTCATTAACAACAACTTCTCTGGCGAGCATCTGGAGCTACCTCTCACTGGACAACATCATGCTCTACAACAGTAACATCTCTTGGGAGTTCCTGTTAAATATACTCCCTCCGTTCGGTGAAAAGTGTATATCTAGAAATTTTAGGACAAATTATGGTGTGGAATAAAAGATGCACTGGGAAGATGCAAGCCACCATCTCTCTCCTCAATAATTACCCAACCCCCAATGAGCTAAGTGCATGTAGAAATTAAGAAGACTATGTATAGAATGCTATTGGTCTTGATTACCGTGTGATGAGAGAAAATATTTTAAAGTGCATTGGGAAGATAGATGTACACTCTTTTGTGGACAAATTTTAAACCCAAATGCACACTTTCACCCGACGGAGGGAGTATGTGTGTTCCTATTGCTCATTCAATGCTAATACCAGACAACAACCTCACTAGCTATTGTACAATCTCGGACCATCCCATAGTAAGACTGTAAACAATGGCAGAGCTATGTGTGTGTCACATGGGGGAGGGGGCATAGGCCCAGCCTTGGAAAGAAGTGTGAAGTGGAGGGAAATTGGCAAGCTTGAATGTCATATGTGGTCCAGATTTGATAAAAATACGATGGGGACTAATAAATCTGGACAAATGTAGTAATGACTAGTGACCAAGTGATTGTTAGTGAGCCACCATGTTAGGCCCTTCTCGGTACTTCATAATGGATATGTGCTAAGCATGCCACATAAGCAAAAAATGACATGTCGCAGTAATTAAGGACGAGAGAGAGAGAGAGAGCACTCTCGTGATCCCAGAAAAAATCAATGTCAAGCACGTGAATCTATGCAAACCACTTAAGTAAAAAAAGCTGACCAATGCATAAAGAGTTTATATGATAAATTATTAAATAAAGTGAGCTTGACAATAAAAAATTAAGTTGTTAAGCTACTTAATACACTTAGGACCTCATCTAGTAAGCATCTTTACATTGGAGGTCTATATAATCTCACGCCCAACAACCTGATATTAATATTATTGACGACAACTAGGGCAATAGTACAAACAGCCACGTTGAAAACAAATTACAAAATAAACATATTTTTCCTATGACATTTCTTACATGGTAGCGCTCAACTCTGATAGCTTATTTATTGTCATCGGAGCGACACAAAAAGATGTCCATCAAACATACAAATGTGATATCTACCTAGAAGCTCTCACCAAAAATGAAAATATATTGTGAATTAGGCTTAGTATTTGTTCAGATCATCTTTCCCGCAACAGAATAAGACCACTATATACTTCGATCATTCACTACGTGACAGCCCGAGTGCGACCGAATAACGGGTGGTATTGGCGACGCCTCAAAAGGGCAGCACGACTGAGTTGTTGGATTTTCTGTCGACCTCTTTGGATGGATTACACAGGTCAGGTGATGATCGCTCATTACATCACCCTCTCTCCTTCACTAGCAAAGTGGAGTGGAGGACTACTGACTCGGTCTGATCGATGATAATCTTGGCCAAGTCGGTACATGACGGATGATAGTTTCAGTTTCTCCAAATCAAATTAGGGTTTTACGTAGTTTTGTGCAGTGTTTTTGAATGTTTGAATTAGGTGATACTAACAAAGATTGCTTCATGGTTAGTGGCGGATATTTTTGTTGGTAATGGAGTGAATCAAGGTTATATTGATGGCGAGGCATCTTTGTTTGATTTCTTCGAGATTAGTACATGGTCACTTGGTTTGATTCATAATGTTGTCGAAGAACTACATTATCAGGCTGCCAGCGAAATGAATATTTATTGGCATTTGACTAGGAAGAGATAAGGTGAGGATGCTCTTTGGTTGATATGGCAAAGTCCGTGACATTGTAATTAACATGTTCAAGTATTAGCACATTTTTTGGCTGTTTACATTTGCCATGACCAGAGCCTTGGGCATATGATCTTCACGATGTTGCAACATATCCACCTACGCAATCACCAAGAGTGTACCACATTACCTA